GACATCATGGTGGCAGTATTAGCTTTTAAAGTCTACCGCAGGCTGAGCAAACTGTGATGCTCTTTGAAAAAGGATTCTTTTACTCTGACTTCATCGTGTGGTTAACTTCACAGGAAACCCCTAACAGGTCAACCCCTATTGTTTGACTCCTATATAACAGTTAATGGATGGACAGACAGACAGACAGACAGACATGGATTCAGATTTACAGAGACACACACACCACAGATGATATACGCAGAAAGAGGTCAATTCGATTTCTTGGATATACTAATGGACAACTGCTTTTTTGCTTCTGGAAATAGAAAACAACTTTACATGAAAAGACCCTGAGAAAAAAGAGTTATGTTAAAAATGTGGATGCATGAACTTTTTGAAGAGACCAACATTTTTCCTGGTAGTAATTTAACATGTTTGAGCATTGATCAGTCAGAGGGTGACAAAGATCTTGGCTCTAGCTGGTTGTCGGGTCTTTCAACACCCCTCCTGAGCCTCCTCACTCCTGACCGGCATTGTTTGCGGAGAAGAAAGCTATCAGAGGATCTGCACAAGATTAGGGTAGCCAACTCTTTCCTCTGCGGCTTCCCGTTTGGCCGCAGGAATTCTTTTAGTGAGTGAAAAAAAAAGCACATAACTGCACACATCTGAAACAGTTAACCCTTTCCTCTTAACAAAATCATTGGAAGAATAAAATAATCAAACACAAAATAAAATAGTGTGCCAGCTTGGTTCTGTTGGAAGGTAGAAACCCGGCTCCCAGCACCTGTAAAGCTAACTTATATATAAGCACATTATTTCTTGTTTGTTTTGTGGAAAAACTAGAAAACATTTCGACATTATGTGCGAGATTATACCCTGTCTTGTTGTCACCATGAGTTTGCCTGGACACCAGAGGAGACTCCAGGATGTCACTGCTTCCCAGCAGGAAATGGCTCTACACGTAACCACCATCAAACTTTTTTTGGTATAAAATAAACAAACAATATGATATGTTATTAGTGAGCTCAAAGAAATACCCTTAAATACAAGAAGACTGTTGTAGCGGAAGGGTTTTAAATAGTCCCCCGTTCACTGTGGAAGCATGTGAGAAAAACAAAGTTGTCTTTAAGAGTTCAAAGTAACACACCATCAATAATTATAAATGGTCCCTTTACAGGCCAACTTCTTAAAAAGTAGCCACAATCTTTTTCTTTTGGACAGAGCCAGACTAGCCGTTTCTCCTGTTTCCAGTGATTATGCTAAGCTAACAGGCTGCATGGAGGTAACTTCATATTTGACAAACAGATATCAATCTCTTGGCAATAAAGCACATTTGCCTTATTACGAAAATGTCAAACTATTGCTTTATGTTTTAAGAAATATAGCATAATCCGTAAAATCGTAAAAAGTCCCTCCAAAAAGTCTCACTGTCATTCAAAGCATCACCTGTCTTTTCTATCTTTCCCTTCCACAATTGTCCTGCAGTGCACACACCCTCTTGCTGTCTCTCCTCCTTGACCCATCATCTCTGTTACCCCCTTACCATGTGACTTTTTTCAGTCCAACTCCTGTCTCCTGTCTCCCTTCTCCTTCACTTTCCCTCCTCGTTTCACCCCCAAACACTTTCCCTCTATCTAAATTGCAAATGGCAGAAGTGCCGACTGCCAGCGGAGCTCCTCAATGTCATTAGAGCCGACCCTGTGGATTAACTAGAGGAGAGAGAAACTACAGATCAATAACGCAGCTTGTCCTCTGGGTTCTTTTACTTCACTTTGGATTTAGATCTGACAAGCTGACACGTCTACTCTGTTACTATACACCAAACAGTAGGGACATAGTAACAATATCAATTGTTAGGCAAATATTTAGGGGTAAAAAAATGAAAATAAACTAAATACTCTGTTGCACACACCAGCTGATACATTAAAGCTGATGATGGCTGTTAAGGACATTCAGAGAGAATAAATAATAGTATTGTAACTTATTATTAGTATGTTTGGGATGTATTCAAACAACATGAAGAAAAATTGAACCCAATAAAATAAAGTTGTCATCTTGATGTAACGCTACCAGTAATGGACACGACAAGATCAAAAATACCTACAACCTATACGCGTGGATGATCCAATTAACAATGCAATGTGATATCTATAAGATAAAGAGAAAGATGGTAAAGATAGATATGTGCAACGTGTGTGTGTGTGTGTGTGTGTGTGTGTGTGTGTGTGTGTGTGTGTGTGTGTGTGTGTGTGTGTGTGTGTGTGTGTGTGTGTGTGTGTGTGTGTGTGTGTGTGTGTGTGTGTGTGTGTGTGTGTGTATCTGTCCTACTGTGTGTGGTTTGTTTACCGAGTTGGCAGGTAGAGTCAAGTCACCGTGAGCTCAACTAAACCTGATAGGTGCCTTTATCGGAGACAGCTAAAGCCAAAGCCTATTATAAATGGCGGTGTGTGTGGGCGCACTCGGCCAAAGACACACTCATACAATAATGTCCAACTGTAGTCCAGCATAAAAGATCATATGTTGCTAAGACATACTAGATTGCAGAATGTGCCAAACACGAATCTACATTTAAATGCAAAATGTACAACCAGCCTCCGATTGACCTCTCAGGAGTTTATGGGAAAATCTGACATGTGGGCCTTAAGACAACAAGATTATAATCACAAAATGTATTATTTCAAATTGTCAATTGATTCTTTTTCCTTACTCTGCCCTTTTTGATGAATAAAAGTGAATTAAAAAGAGAGGGCTATTTGTTGACCGTTTATCAATAAGCTAAACTCCAGGAGTGTTCAGAGTAATCCTTAACAACATTAGAGCAAAAACAGCTGGGACTATTACAAGAATAAACTCGTTCTACTGTGTATTAGTCTAAATGTTAAGTGTCTCAGTAGGTAATGGACAGTGATGATTAAAGTTTGTTGATTTAAGCGACCTCTGCTTTTTACATTTTACCGTTTCAAAGCGGTCAAAGCATTAAAAGCACTACATCAAGCTCAAGATTTGTATTTACGTATCACAAGCTGTCATGTCAAACACATATAAACACTTGGTAGTTAAAATCATTACTATAAAAATAAGGGATTGAGGTTTTACAAACTTTGTACTAGAAGTTTGCTGGAAAGGAAATGGCTTCTTGAAAACGTAACATTCCTGAATTCCTGCACAATAAATATACTACTACTGAAAGTGCTTAATAGTGGTTTACAAAATCTGATCCTGTGTCTGTGAGTTGAATACGTGTCAACAGTTAGTAGAGGTGCACCACCAAAGGGTGAATTCACTATGTAATGCATGGCTTCCATACATCTATAACAGCACAAGTCATTTGAACAATATGTTTTGCCTCACTACACTGCAAACAATATGTCATATTCTCTCAAATAGAGCAGGTATGAAAAGATATGCAGTCAAGTTAACTTGTGCCAGGAGTGTTTATGTGCTTGGTGCTGCCAGTTTTCATAAGTCATGATCAGCATTTTATGGCTGTATTGTGTATCATAAACCTATGAAAGGGCAGTTAAAGCACTTGTTATTTCAGCATTACAAAACATTAAGTTCAAAGTGCTGTGAGTCCAGGAGTTGTTCTGAAATAATTGATCTGCATCCTGAGGAAACATGACAACTATGTTTGTAATGACAAGTTATGTTTTCAGTAAGTTATGTATAGTTTATGATGCATTGTGACCATCAGAATGATATTAGTGTGTTATATTAGGTATTTAGTGCCATCTGGTGGTTGAACAGTTACAGGATCAGTTCACCCAAATTATAAAGAAAACACACTAGCCATAATCAAGGGATGCCAATAGCTTTTATTATATTTGTATAAATTCTTTCAACCATGAGATGCCAATATATATTCAATGAATAGCAATTGTTTGCCGTGGCAAATAAATCCTAAAACAATGTCCTCATTCATTTCTTTAGTCTAGATCATTCTCAATCAACAGACACTAAAGTGCTATTTAAAAAGAAAATGCATTTGTATTGGGGTGGTGGCCAAAATCTCAGAGACCGATATCAGAAACAACTAAACAAATGTCTTAAGAGTTCAGTGTATACACCTCAGTTCTTGTTAAGACATGTCGACCACAATCATTTCGAGCAATACCGTGTTTTTGGTTTAAAATGTACGTTACTTTTGACATCAGAAAATGTTCTGTCAAAGTTGTTAACATATTTTACAATTGTTGCAAACACTCTTTCTTCTAATCATAATGATCTTAACCAGATCATGCTTAAGACATGTTTATACAGTAGTACTATTAATCATTATTAAAACAACACTTAACTGAATAAGTTCTGAATTGTGATGCATAGAAATAGCAGGAAATACATACTAAAGTTAAGTAGAAGTATGCTACCTTAAAAAATGTACTTTAGGGGTTAGGGCTATTGTATTTGAGTAAATGTACTTGTAAATGTTAGTTTACACCAGGGGTGTCCACACTTTCTTCACTGAGGGCCGCATACAGTACACAAAAAAGGTCTGGGCCACTCAGGTGAGGTATATTGCCTCATAAGTTAAATTATAAGTTAGCAAAATCAATCAAATGTAAGCAAACTATGCTTGATTATTGAATATGCTTTAAGAAAAAAACAGCCATCATCACAGCTTTCCATAGGGTTTCATTTATTTTGATACAAACATTGTTGACAGCTCATTCCTTAAAACAGAAGCCTCTGATTGCTTATAGGGGAAATAGGAAGGGCATATTTCTAGCTTACTATATGGTTATTGGGCTTTTTTTATCAACTAAGATTGACTGAATTTATTTGAAAACTACGCTTATTAACACACGAATACTGTGTTATATATTTTTAGATATATATTTAAGTATATTTAAGTACAGCATAACAAAAGCACAAGTTTCATGTGTGGGCCAAAAGCCATTACACTTTTAGAATTTGCTGAGGGCAATTTCAAAATGGACAACGGGCCGCAGTTTGAACTCCCCTGGTTAGAAAGTTAGAGAGCATCTTTGGCTGAATCACTTACTTTTGTCACTTCCTCAGTCCTCCACATCCATGGTCCTCCCCCATGGTATTCCCACCCGATAACAGGGATGGGCTTCCCTGCTGCATGTTGTGCGCCTGCGCAGTTTGTTGAATGCAATGTTATTGTTGATGCCAACTGTCTGTGGCTTTGGTTTGCGAATTAACTCTTAAATCGGTGATTGTGAAATCCTTTCTACGAACCAAATATACGTTAACTACAGGGAAACTTTTGGAGATCATCCTTGTTCAGGAGACTGTTTTTGTTTTACTTTTTTTAACTCCGGTCTACTCTGAACCATGTTTCAGGACACGGTGAAGAACTTCAAAATCAATTTCAACGCTTTAAATCAGAGGAATACGTTCTCCAGTGGCGATGTGATGACAGGACACATCTCATTTGACCTCACAAAGGAAATGAAGATCAGTTCTATAACGATGACACTGACAGGAAAGGCAAATGTGCACTGGTCCACCGGAGGTGGAAAAAATCAGAGACGGAGACACTATTCCGCAAAACTGGACTTCTTTGACCTAAAAAGTGTCATCGTGCAACAAAACAGTGGTAGGCGCACATGAACGCCTTTTGGATGCATGTCAACATTTCATACAACTAGTCATTGTTCAGTAAAGTCACTCTTGTTTGTTTTCTCCTTGCAGCTACCGGTGGGGCTGCAACTTTCAAGGCTGGCACGCATGTATACCCGTTTACATGCCAGGTCCCGCAAGGGTGTGTCTGATCACGTGACTTTGTCCTTCTGTTTTTTACAGATAATCTTTGGGTTCACATGGTGGTTTAGATTGAAATACATTTATTGAGAAGCATGACTGGTATCTAAACCTAATAATATTGTTGTCTACCATGTGATTTAGATAATTTGGAATTGTTATCTTTAACATCTGAGATTGTAACTATTCATTTTAAATTTGTCTTGTTTCTACATTGCATAATTTCTCATTATTTCCTCTTTTTTATTGTTATTTTATATTAATGCAGGAACTTCCCATCCAGCTTCCATGGGGTTTATGGACACATAACGTACAACTTGACAGTGGCCGTCCACAGACCCTGGCATATGTCCAAAGACTTTGTGACAGAGTGTAATTTTGTAAACCGGATTAATACCAACCAGCCAGAGCTGCATGTAAGTAATCCATGATCATGTTAACCTGACAGGGGGCTCCAGAAAAAACATGTAAAAAAACATATCTGGTTTGAGATACTGTTTTAATAATTTATTTAGCATGAGGATATTAACAGGAATCACCATATTCGGAAATGCGTGGTTTTCACTGGACAGGGAGGGTTTTGTATTTGTATTCTGTAAAGTGTATACAGCTGCAAGACGTAGTGGAGTGCTTAGGACATTGCTTGAGAAATATTCTTCCACTATTGTAAAATTCCAATATTGCTTAAACTACAATTTGACAAACTGGCCTTCTCATCAGTGCCCCACTTTTAAGAAGAAGATGAACCTTGATTAATCCCCCTAGGGGGAAATTCAGTTTATCACTCTGGCTTGTATATTTTAATTAAATACACACACACACTGTATACAGGATGGTGCACACATGCACATACAATACACACACAGTTATACACATGCACATGCATCTGGAGAGGGCCAACATATTTTTGGTCAATCGGGACTCGAACCGGCTACTCTTCGATCCCAGGGGCAATTCCCTACAGACTGAGCCACTACCACCCCACTTTTTGGTGATCTTCTAATGTTGCAACTTGACTGAGGTCCATCAACCCACTTATTGTATAAATTCCTGCTAGTGTTAGGGTTAAGTATGCTTGCCTGAACTGCTCAGGTTGACTTATTTGTACATAGTACTTATAAGGCTATGCATTTATATCTATTGACCTTTTCTCTGTGTCCTCTTCTTTTTTTCTTCTTCTTTTTATTATCATGTTCATTGCTCATGCATGCTAATGCTGTTTCTCTGCAGGCTCCTCTCTCGGGCTCCAACAGCATGACAGTGTGCTGCCTTTGGTGTACCTCTGGTCCTATCGAGATGACAGCCAGTATAGAGAAGAAAGGCTTCATGCCTGGTAGTGTTTCCATCAACACATTATTATAATTTAACAATCAATATAGTTTATAAAAACTGCTGGCTAAAAACATCACAACCAAACACTGTCTGTTCTTCTTCCAGGTGAAACTGTGAAGATCATTTGCGAGTTTATTAATGGTTCATCTCGAACAGCCACTCCAAAGGTGTCACTGCAACAGAAACAGGTTTTCTACACCCACAACAAGAACCACAGGAGAATGTATGTCAAGAAATTGATGTCCTCGACTGGACAGCTCGTCAGTGAACGCATCTCTGACCGTCGCACTGTGATTGAGCTCACTATTCCCTCTTCTGCATCCCTCACCATCTCTAACTGCAGCATCATTAATGTTGAATACTTGATTGAGGTTGGTAACGATGACAGATATATAGGTTGTATTAGCATCTTGGGGACTCTTCTCTTTAACATCTACATGCTACCACTGGCTCAGATAATGAAAAACAACAAAATAAGTTACCATAGCTATGCGGATGAAATACCAATTTACATAACCATTTCACCAGGAGACTATGCTCCAATTCAAACACTGAGTAAGTGCATTGAACAAATCAATGATTGGATGTGTCAGAACTTTCTCCAATTAAACAAAGATAAAACTGAGGTAATGGTTTTTGGAGCCAAGGCAGAACGTATAAAAGTTAGCGCTGAGATTCAGTCTGCAATGTTCAAAACAACAGATAAAGCCAGAAATCTAGGTGTAGTCATGGACTCTGACCAGAGTTTCAACAGTCGCATTAAAACAGTTACTAAATCAGCCTACTATAACCTTAAGAATATATCTAGGATTAAAAGACTAATGTCACAGCAGGATTTGGAAAAAGTTGTCCATACTTTTATCTTCAGTAGACTGGACTACTGCAATGGTGTCTTTACAGGTCTCACTAAAAAATCTATTCAGAAAGCCGCTGCTCGAGTACTCACTAACACTAAGAAAGTGGATCACATCACTTCAGTTCTGAAGTCTTTAGACTGGCTTCCTGTGTGTCAAAGACTTGATTTCAAAATACTGCTGCTGGTTTATAAAGCTTTGAATGGTTTAGGCCCAAAATACATTTCTGCCCTACTGCTAAATTATGAACCATCCAGAACTCTCAGGTCTTCTGGGACTGGTCAGCTTTCTGTCCCCAGTCAGAACTAAACATGGAGAAGCCGCGTTCAGTTATTATGCTCCAAATATCTGGAACAAACTCCCAGAAACCTGCAGGTTTTACTACTCTTACTACTTTTAAATCCAGGCTGAAGACTTTTCTTTTTGCCGCTGCTTTTAATTGAACTATTCATATCTTAAACTGCACTGTAACTTTTATCCATGTATTTTTTCTTTTAATGTTTATTTTATTATCTTTGCTTTTTAATGACTGTTTTTAAATGCCATTTTCTTAATGGCTTTCATTTTTGTAAAGCACTTTGAATTGCCTTGTGTTGAAAGGTGCTATATAAATAAACTTGCCTTGCCTTGCCTTACATTTGTTTTGGATCTTCAGCGGATCGGTCTGTTAAAGTTGTTTTCTTGTGTCACCTATAGGTGAGCTTCAGCGTGAGAGGTTCCCCCGACCTCGATGTACTGTTTCCCATCATCATGTGTGATACCCCTGTTGACGCTCAACCACCATCTTATTTGTGAGTTTCAAATGTATTTAATATTACATTGTTTTCTGAGAGACAACATTTAATAGTGAACAGAAATGTCTCAGTCGGACTTGTTACTGCGAGAGATCTATGAATCCTAAATAGCGTCAATTTCAGTGCTGTAACTGAAAATTGTGACTGTTAAACATTGTGATAACTGCCATAGGGAATCATACTGCCTTCACTCTGTGTTCAGAGTGATATATATTTTATTACAGTGGATTACTGTTAACATCTATAGAAAGTGTATTACATTTCAGCGTAGAATTTAGTAGTTTTAGTTCAAGTTGAAGCATTGGGTAAATAATGTGTTACAGTTTGAATGTCAAAAAATAATTCTCAATCAATGCTGAGTGAAAGTTACGTTTATAAAGTGTTTTTTTTATACATTAAATGTATTTACAGTATTGTAAAATAGGAATAGAGATATTTTCTTTGTGGGCATACTGCAAAGCTGGGCTTGAACCTCAGTGCCTTTTTCTTCTCTTTTTTTTCAATAAGCAAATGTATGTATTCCCCCCCCTGTATTACAATCATATATGCAATTTCTTAACCGTGGGTTTCTCAGAGTTTAAGGTGTTTTGACTATTCATTATCATCTGTGTGCCTTAAGACTGATTTATGTCATTTGAAATACTACTAATACAACTCATTACCAAAGAATACTTTTCTCTTATGCTGCATTTTTATACACTTGCACCACGCAGGTGTCATGTTCCCAAAATATGTATTGTCTTTCAGCAAGATGTTACTTTTAGGTTTTCCTAAAGACTGTCATACAATTGCAGAAAAAAAAGACTATGTATTGATGAAGTTAAATAAAACATTTTTATATAAGTATGTTTTGCATCAAGATTTTTTTTCTCTATAACTTAAAAAACATATTGTTGTTGCCCCTTTGCAAAGGCTGGTTGCCACCATGGTGCAGCAGTTCATCTGGTGTCCTAAAGGGGGCAGCACTGCTGGGTTACAGTGTGGGGACATAGTAAGTTTGGAGGCTTGGCTCACCATGCTTGCTCTCTGTCATATATTTTTTTCCCTCTTGGACCCATGGATGTATGAGAGTTGCTCATTCGCGCATGATGATAAAATGGCCCAACTTTTGAGAGAGCGAAACGTCACAGATTACCCAGCATGCCTGAGAAGTACCCGTATGTGCGCTCATAGCGCATGCGCAACTTTAACCATAACCCCCAAAATGCCAATATGGTCTAGCTGCGGCCACGGACAGTACGTCAATTTGCGTACACATAACAGCACCGCACGTTCATGACAGCATGGTAATGGTTTGTTATGATAGATTTGATATTAACGAGGCGGCAGTTAGCAGCTAGCGGTTAGCTAGTAATTATGCTAATTTACACATCAATCGTTATGTAGCCTACTTTTATATTACGCTGTAACAGGATCTAGTGATATCCAAGCAACAGAGCTTCATTTAGCATGAAAGAATTATTGCACTGTATATATATATATATATATATATATATATATACAGTGCAATAAGCTTCTTAGTGCAATAAGAAGCAACAGGGACGTTAATCTACATCGGTAATATTAACTTTATTTAATACAACATTTACGGTACAAGATTTAATCATACAGCCCATGTAGTATAATATTTTACAAATGATGAATTACAGCAAACATGTGCAATATATCCATTATTACAGCTCCGTGGGCTGGCAATAAGGCGAAATGGGTCCGTTCTTATTGTGCATCCATGGGTAAAGATAAACGCATGTAGTGCTGAACACGTAAGATGAACGTGCCGGGCGGCGCGGTCCCGTGGGTTAGATGCGCGTTCATAATGCAGAGGGAAATAACTCACAGAATAACGTTATTAGCACATTTTTACAACTTGAGGAACGAATGTTTCTAATAAGGGCTATACAAGTGTTCATACTGGGTAGTTTATTTAGTTTAAAATACCACAGACCACTCTTTCCCAATGTTAGTCAATGGGAAAAAGTGTTTCCGGGCCTGGCAACCAAAAGGAAGTGTAGTACCGCCGTTTGGCCAGCACGAATATTTTCATCTGAGTCCGGCGCACTTCCTGGGGGCTTGCTTGGACCCCATCAACTCAGGCACTAATGCCGCGTTTCCACTACACAGCCTCGCTCGGCCCCGCTCGGCCTCCTTTGGCCGCGCCCGGCCTCGTTAGGACCAGCTCACTTTGTGGCGCGTTTCCATTACAGTTTAGGAACCGGGTCAGTATCTATAGTAACAGTGTAGGCGGAGCGACGCTGCTTAAAACTGCCGTGACGTCATCTTCAATGCGACACAACAATGGAGATGTGAAAGCGATCGTTTGCTTGTTTTTTGCTGTGTGGTTTATTATCACAAGAAATAGACAAGACTTGTTTCGAAAGAGGCGACGTATAGCAAGACGAGGTATAGAAGAAGCTGACGCGAGAGTTCGGGCAGTCCTCCTACGCCGCAGAGACTACAGGACGACTCGAATCACTACTAACTACAATGCTACTTGGTAAGCTAACGTTCGCTAACTAGCAATGTGTTTAGGCTCACTCTCCCTATACGACCAAAGTATTTCAAGTATTTAATTAATTGTAGCTACCACTTTTACGTATTAAAATATGTATGCTTTTGTTTGTGTATTTCAGAAGTTACCGACCGAGCTACCGAGTGGTGGAATGTGATTGTTCCATCTTTCACACACTCAGTGGGTGGAGAACTTCAGGATGCCTGAGGAAAACCTACGTGTAATACCTAAATATTCATTGTATTGTATTGAACATAAATACATCTTTTCTTTTTCACATACATGTGTTTGTCAAATTATTTAAACCAAAAAAATGTTATCAGAATTGACTATTTAGTAAATATTTGAATTTCAAGCACCAGTACTGCCCCCATAATAATAATCTAATAAATTAAGCAAATATCAAAGCAAACTATAAACATAAATACAAAAGTGTAAAAACACAACAGAACTATATTCATAAATGCAAGTGTAAAAAATTGTTAACATGGATGGAGGCTAAAGTATCCACAGCATAAAATAATATGATTATGATGGTTTGTCTGAAAGACACAGCCTCAAGGTTCAAGGTTTTTTATTTTGTCATACGAACATAGCTAGTGTAGTTATGACAATGAACATCTTAGGTCACAGGCTCCTCCAACAGTGCAACACAATAACCCAGATCAACAGAAATATAGTGCAAGTAAATATTAAGCGCTGTGCACCGCTCTCTTTGTATAGGTGTTTTCTTTTGTTCTCTTCTCTTTGAAATATATAAGCAATGTGTTTGAGTCTAGCACAACGAGGGTATTACAATTGAGTAATTTTTCTACATGTATTTATCATGTATTCTTAATACCATTATGTAATGTTATGTTTTAGAGGAGGACCTCAAGCTAGCAAACTCAATTTCAAACAGTATGCAGAGTTGTCCTGCTAAAGAGTTAAAATGTATTATTTAACCAAGTATTTATTCTCTTATTTGCTTTAATTGCAACAGATGATAAAGGTTTCACTGTGATAAGTATTCTCTTAAATCCATAAACCCCTGTACAGTGCTTTGTGGACGATGGTGTTTATGATATTTCTGACTGCAGAGGGACGCCTAGATGATGCCATCTTTCTGTGCGATCGCTGGTGGGTGCAATTATTTATCAACAAGCAATAAGATAAGACATGGCATTGATTCTGCTGGGCCAGTTGCCGTTCCTGCAGGGCCAGATCGTCTCCTCCTCGGTTTGTGCTGTTGATGCAGAGGACGTTGTTCGGAACTGTTCCTCCTCGCTAGTCCCAATGTAATCATCTAGAACAGAAACATGACTTGTAAATTCCACAAACTACTGCAGCACAATACTATAAATAGCAACAACAACTATAGAAAAGACAAACTGAACGTAAACAATGGCACATATGGTGTTAGCAAACAATAGCTCTCGCTAATGCTATCTGCCTAGCTAGCCTTCGGGGCTCCATCGGGGTTGTCGAACATAAATGTAAGGATAAAATAGACTTATTTGTTAGAAGTGAGCTTTAAAACAGATAGGGACACAAAGCAGGGACACAAAGCTTTCAAGCAAATAACACAGCGTTAGCAAAAACGTACCATGCAGACTCCAGTAACGCCGTTGGAGAGTCCAGTGTCTGTGTAGAGACCTCCTGAAAGACTTTGATATTGCGAGTTGTCCCGTCGAGCACCCGCTGGACCTTATCATCTGCAATATAATGGACGTCGTCACTTCCTCGACCGACCATGGTGTGCTTTTCTTTGCCATTGTTGTAGCTCCTCCGTTAACAAAAATGCTGTTTGTAAAAATGGATTATCTCGCGCGCAGATTGTGACGATTCTCTCCGACCAATCAGCAGCCGAGAGCGTTGACGTCACAAACACAGCCCGGTTGTCTTTGGCCCTGGCCCCACGATTTTATGAGGCCAGAAAAACTGAGAATTAGGACCAGCCGGCCGGTACTAGGCCAAGTGGAAACGCAACCACAAACGGGCCGCTGACGTCACAGCCCTCTTAAACCGGGCTGCGCGCTGTAGTGGAAACGCGCCATTAGTATATCAATGTTAAAGGTTATCAGGTAATAACATCATTATGAGTTGTGTAAGAGGACTGAACAACACTCGATTGATTTTAGGAAAGTCTGATATCACCAGGCTATGACTGTGTGGGCTTTAACATTCAATTATTTGGTGTACTATAAGAGTTTATAATAGATTATTTAATAAATAATTGTCATTTGTTATTCATATTATGGAAATAACATGTTGGTTGAAATAATGTATTCATTCTTCAATTCACTTCATTATTTGAAACACTTTGTAACCCTATTAATATATATAAAACAGCTTCACATACTAATATACACACTTTTGCTAGCATTATACTAGTTAAATATAATCCCATACACATCAGGCAATTAACAGTATTAATTATATAGATGCCAAAATGGATCAGGGGACGTGCTGCACTTTGTCTGGATTCCATTGCTCATTATTTCCAGCATTTATTTACCTCACATGATCTGTGCTCATGTGTTTGACCGAACACGCCTACAGAAGGAGATCCAGCAGCAGCCTGTAGTACTTCATGCTATCACCACTTACACACAGTTAGAATGAGCTCATTTACTAATTTATTTTAACCGAAAGAAACATTTGAACCCTAATTTCCTTGAAGTCCGGTTTAAAGTTAATCATTATACAAACCAGATTGTCTATCTTATACGGACACACATGACAACATATACAATGTATGTCCTCAACTTGCCTTATATCTTCAGCTTTGCTACTCTGTATGACATGTCAAATAGAACTGTTCAGTGTGATACAATCCCCCAAAAGAAAGTAATGTTTTCACCACAAGTTACACTAGAACTGCCAAAAACCACCTTCTGCTGGTCAGACAGTCACCAGGATCATCCCCATTCCTCCCAGCACATGTGTGTCCATCTTAAACAGCAACACCATTAAAGAAGAGTACATGGCTCAGGGTGAGTATCTCTCTAGACTCAAAGGCTTTATATATACACACAGTAGCTACAGTAGATATGGCAACGAAAAGCGTAAGTCTAAGGCTCCTACAACAATGCAACATAAATATATATAAGACATAAAACAAATTGTGTTTGTATTTAAACAAAAAAAGTAATAAAGTGCAAAAACAGTACAATGAACATGTCTGCAGGTCTGTGACAGGGCTGCAGGATTGTTATAATAAGTGCTGACTAATTGTCCTCCACATGTCTATCTGGATGTCAAGCATGCCTCCAATCCGGAGATCAAGTTCCACATAGTCATCCTGTCCACACTTACGGTAACTGAAATGGATTTCTAGTTGAAA